GGTTAGCACCGTTGCCTTATGCTAAGTTCAGACTGCATGGTTTTAGCCTCGATTTTGACTCGGCGACAGGTTTTGAGAAATTGCAGACAAATGCCTGAAATCACAGGCAAAACGGTACTCATTCACACGAGTAAAAATCACACAATGTTGAACTATCAAAGACGCAATCTGAGAGAATCGCCGATGAGTCGCAGATGCCTGTAAGATATTTGGCTTGCTAAAGATCTGGAGCTGTCTGCGATTTTAAATCATGCCGTGTGGAATGAGTTTTGACTGAATATAACATTGGCGATCGCCTACAGCCAATGAGAGAGCAGCATCCACTTGTGTGTGTGTACCTGCAAGTTAAAAGCACTCTTTGTAGGTTTATTTGGACCCAAGAAATGGAGGAAAAACTAGTGGAGGTTTGACCAGAGCACTTGTGTCTGTTTGATGTTTCATACAGAAAGTTAAAAAAGAAAGTTGAGGAAAAATTGCTAATTCCCTTCAAACCCAGAAGAGCAAATATGTACATTTTCTACCCCATTAAAGGCTTCTTTCTTGCTATGTAGTTAATAACAAAAGATATACTACGTGTTTTTAGCTGTTGACGAAGTTGTCGGCGATTCTTCCTATTGTAAAGTCATGCAATGTGAAAGTCCCTGTCGCCAATCTATCTTGCAGTGTAACCAAAGCAGCTAGCCCAGATTGTCATGCAGTGTGAAAACATCTGTGACACGACGACTTTGAAAATCATGCAGTCTGAACTCTGCATTACAGCAAGAACGTCACAGGTTCTAGTACTTACCAAGCCAGCTTACATTTCTGTGTGGAGTTTACATCTTCTCCCCGTGCTTACGTGGGTTTCCCCCGAGATCCATGGTTTCCTCTCACCGTCCAAAAACAAGCAACTTAAGGTAATTGACTCATCCAAATCGGCACCATAGACATGCTCCTAGAAAGTAGTTATCTCTTAAGAGCAATCTCTATCCGTTCATTAGCTACTGCAGCAGGGGAGTTCTCAAGATCTACCTGAGCTCAAACTCCCCTCACGCCTTGCAACTGGGAGGGAGCCCCGGGCTCGAGGATCTTATGAGCTCAGGGCTCTCTCCCGGGACAGCATGCCAAACAAGCTTTATAAACAATCATCAGCTAAGTGTGTACTCTTGAAAACATTATACACTGATAGATTAGGTTTTTGTTTTTTTTTAGATTTGAATAAAAGGTTAAATTAAACCTTTTTCTGATTCAAATTTACTGTGTTTTATCAGAAGACAGAAAATTAAAATGCTTTATTCATCTGGATTTATATTTCGGTCTGTCTGCGAATGTTTTGCAGAGTCACAATTTTAAGTCAATAAGCTTTAAATCTAACAGAAATCATTTAGATTTTATTAAAAATTTGGGTTTGGAATGACATGAGGGCAAGTAATGACCGAATTTATTTGGGATTGAGCTTGAAACCTATGTCCCTCTTCAAAACTGCTTTTCACTTTTATTTTGCTTGGTTTCTCAGCTGTTTAAACTGCATCTCAAAGCATAAACATGGTGTTAATCATACTGTGGTTTCAGCGGAGAAAAACGCTGATGCCGTTCTCTGATATGCTACTATGGCTTGTGAAAAACAGACTTTAACTAACAACAGCTTGTAAGAGTCTGCAGGGGGTGACAGCTTTGAACAAGAGCCAATCAGCAGTCAGGCGGAGCCAATGAGAAAACTGCTAACAAAAACAAAAGCCCTAGTTCCACAGACAGGTACAGGCCTGTTCACGGGGTCTATAAGGGGCCTGAAAAATGAAGCAGCCTACATTTAAGCCTGAAGAGAACGAATGAGCTTTTGCTTGCCAAAAACACCAGATTAATTTAACACTATATACAGCGCCTGTGTGCACTTAGTGGCTTTGGGATTAGTGTTTAAAGAGTTATCACATGAACGTGGGTCACATTTTAGAATTTATGTGCAGAGACCTTCATATTCATTTATAGGGTCAACTAAAATGAAGTGTTGCTAGGTTTTCATAACAAAACTAGTCTAAAGAAACCCAGTAATTTCTCAAAATAGGTCATCACTGCCAATTATTTTAATTGTGGATACTTGCATTGTTTTTATTCTGGGTGTTAATTAAACATGCTGACATAAACCTATATCTTTGCTTTATTTACAGCTTCAAACAAAATCATATGTAGTTTAACATTAATCTGTTTGTATATTTCACATCAGTGTATGAATTATTAATGGTTTCTTCTTTGAAATTACTGCATATTAGTAATTAAAGATTATTATATCTTAAAGTTGCTTTAAATTGGTTTTGAATTCATAGCACAGCTTGCATGGTGTTATACATGCAAGATATTAATACAATTGTACATCAATTGACTTTTACTTTGTTGATTTTCATACTTTGATTGTTATTTAGCAAAAGTCCTCCCAATCTGTTACCATAGAAAGAGCCACACACACACGTCTCTCCTCTATTAATCTCCCTGCACCTTCCAAAATTGTGCTTACTCCATTTCATCGTCATAGCACGGTTTTTATGATTGGTAGAATATAAATTTGGTAGAGTGAAATATTTCACTGAAACCATTAAAATATAATTGATTCAATATGTTAAACCTTAAACCCATGAAATAAAAAAACAACAATCTGCGGTTAAAAGTAACCCAATTCTGTGGGACCACTGTGGACTTGGCAACCCTGAGAATAGCAGAGTGTTAATGAATTGTGATGGGGAAAGAAAAATAAGTAGAACTTTTCACTCAGAAATTGCTTGTGAATTTACGCAATGACAAAAAAGGACAAGTGAAGGCTTGTTCACACCTATAAATAAATAAAAAACTGTATTCAAATTTTGTAAATACAAGAGGGGAAAAAGAGAAAATGCATATTATGGGAACACCTATATTTAAAAATTCAGTAGGTTTTACTTCATTTTATTTCTTTGGTTTCCACCAAAAGAAATTTTGTAAATTAAAAACCTCACTAGGCAAAATAAACTTAGAAGTTTAAGTTTAAAATTTCTACAAGCTTGAATTAAGTACTAATGTAAAAAAGAAATTTATAATAAATAAATAAATACATTTTTAGGGTTTACATATATATATATATATATATATATATATATTCAATTTAATTCAGCTTTATTTGTATAGCGCTTTTACAATGTAGATTGTGTCAAAGCAGCTTCACATAAATGGTCATAGTAACTGGAACAGTGTGGTTCAGGTTTTAGTGTTTAAGTTCAGTTCAGTTTAGTTCATTTCAGTGTGATTTAATCATTATGAGAGTTCAAATATATATATATATATATATATATATACTCAAACTACTGTAATTGAGTAGCGTTTCTCAGAAATTGTAATTTAATGAGTAGTTTTAAAGATACTTTTACTTTCCCTTGAGTACATTTTTAGTGCAGTATCTGTAAATTTCAGTCCTGTGATTCCTGTCTAATTAAAACACATATGCAAAAAAAGGGGTAAATCGCATTATAATAAACTGCTTCAAGACATGGGCGATTTATAATTGCAGCAAACTCTTTGGAAGCTTTAAAAGTGTCCAAGATGATGTCCAAAATCTTTACAAGCATTGACCCGAGACTGTTTAGATCAGGGGTGCTCAATCCTGTTCCTGGAGAGCCACCTTCCTGCAGATTTCATTTGCTACCCATATCAAACACACCTGCCTGTAATTATCAAGTGGTGTTCAGGTCCTAATTAATTGGTTCAGGTGTCCTTGATATGGGTAGCAACTGAAATCTGCAGGAAGGTGGCTCTCCAGGAACAGGATTGAGCACCCCTGGTTTAGATGCATGTCACTGATGAGAAGACAACTGATGTATGATGTATGATGAGCGAAATGGTCTTAAACACCCAGCAGGCACAAGACGTCAACATGACATCAGATTGAAGTTGCATACTGTCATAGAGAAGATGCATTTTGTTTTGAAATGAAAATCTGGTTGACATCAGAACTCAACTTCAGGCTGACGTCAGTGTCTAACGTCCAACCTAAAATCAACATAACATCAACCAAAAATCAACGTCTAATGATGTTACAGCTTGATGTTGTGTGGACGTTACAAATATGATGTCTATTAAGACGTTGAATTATGGTTGCCATACCTGACGAATAAATGTCAGCATTTGAGGTCAATATGACGTTGGGTTTTGGTCACTTTCTAACACAACCTAAAATCAACCAAATATCAAATCGTTATTGGACATCAAAATAACATTGTCCTTAGATGCTGGCTAGTCAGTGAATTTTGTTCACCTGACATCACTACCTAAATCACACCTAATATTAACGTCTTATGATGTTGTGTACCTGCTGGGCAATAACTAGGCCTACACGGAATCTGCGCGTGCAGAAATCCACAGATTTCCAGGCCATCGATTCTATTTGTATTGTTTTTTAAATGTGTGTGAATTTATATTTATTCAATTTTTAAATTAGTTCAGTAATATTACTTACAATAAAGTTTAAAATATATATTTATTTTAATTTTTTTTACTTATTTAAATTTTATTACTTAAATTTTAGTTACGATCCACCCAAAATCATTCCACATAAATCCGCAGATTTTTTACAATATTCTGCACAGAAATAGCAAAAAATGTCCGCAGTTTCTGTCTGGCCTTGGCTATAACTTAATGCACTACAGAATGTTACGTTTACACACACTCACTAATTACATATAAATGCATCAGCTTTTTAGTGTAATACTTCTGAGTACTTTTGAAAGCTCTACTTTTTACTCATACTTTGAGTAATATTTACATCAGATTCTTTTATTCTACCTGCACTACATTTTTAGGCAAGTAATGGTACTTAGGTATGACTTTTCTGTACTCTTATCCACCACTGGCTATCAGTGATTTTGTTCATAAACTTAAAAAAAAAAAATTCCCAAAGTGGGTCTGGTAATAATGCAATTATTTTAGCTGAGGATACTTTTTTTTTTTTATCTCTTTGTAGTTATTCCTGGTGTGAAGCGTTGAACCAGTAAGACTGAAGCTTTTTTTTTTTAAAGCATACATCTTTGTTTTATTAACAGCTTCAAAAAGTTACATTTACATTGCAGTTGAAAATGAATCGGTCTGTGTTTTGATTGACATGTGATTTACACATTTTGCATCAAGCATCAGTTTTATTATGTGGAATGTCCTGGAGAAAACGCAATGGAAAATTACCTTATAAAGTAGTTTTTATCTATTCAGGCAATCAAATACCACATAATGTTCAAATTAAACATTCTGACCCTTAAAATGTTATTTAATAAGTACCGTAATGGAATTCAACACAAATGTTTTACATTTGTAAATCTTTTTTTTTTTTTTTTTTTTTTTAATTGACCGACACATTTCTTTCACAAGCACAGTTCATGTGTAAATCTGAAACCGAATTCTGACTTCACTAAAAACAGAAAGAGCCATATTCATTCCTCGGCCAATGCAAATACACACACTCTGGACTTGGGACTGTACAAAAATAGCACTTCTCTGCACTGACAATATGTCCACAATGTTTCAGTAATGTTTTAAATAAAGCTGTCCTGGAGCTGAAAATAGATTCACAGGTGTGCAGGAGTTTACACCATGTTGAAATAAACATGAACTAAGCTGACCTGTTTTCATTTTAGTCCATATGACAGTGCAAACATCCATAGAACCAGACTGCAGTCACCGTGGAGGAAATGTTGTGCACAGAGAAATAAAGAATATTGATAATCACAAACTAGTTTCACATCTTCAGTCCTTTCTTCCTCAAGTCCTCTTTGGCTTCTTTTATTTGCGCTTGCAGCTCTTTGGCCGCATCCTCACAGTCATTAAATGTAGCCACACGGTAGCCGACAGTGGCCAGAGAATAACACCCAAACACCACCAGCAGGTACACGGGCATCGGCCATGCAAGCTCTTTATACTGGGGCAGCAAATGCAAATCCAGGAGGTCGAAGGTAACGAGTCCCCATGCAATGCCAATCAGAGACACCGCAAGAAGCCACTGCAGAAGCTTGGTCATGGTTTGGGGGATTGCGAGATGATTGAAGACACAGATAATCCACCTTTGAGGATAAATAGGAGAATATAATGTTAGAAATGAGGTGAAGTTGGTTTAGTATTCGCACACTTGTTAATTTATTTATTTATTTTTTTAACAGTGAAATGGTAATTATATTGTTTACCACGCTACTTTAAATATTTAGTCTTAGTGTGCGAATTATACATTGACTTTATCAGTAATGTTTGTGTAATACATGCTTCAGTGAATCAAATTCACGTATTTATTTAAATTACACCTAATTTATTCAAAAATGTATATATTATATTGAATTATAAATAAGTGTATTTCAGTTTTCAGTGTTTTATTGGAAAGGCTGTTTAGTGTATTCTGACAGGCTAGCCATTTCAACTTATCTTAGGTCAAACTTTACAAACTATGCATCTAATTTGAGTTTGCTTTTAGGCTACATGTAGAAACAAACCCCTATTTTATAAGAAAACAGCCTTGCTAATTCTTACGGTGTCTATCGGTGCTCTGAATCTGCCAGTTTCATACTGTTGAATGACTTTTTTTCTCGCGTAGACTGACGGGCACAATTATGCATTCACAATGGTATGAACCTTTATAGGGGTGGTCATATGGATGTCTACTATTTTAATTATTAACATTATTACTTAAAATACAGATCAGAGTGAACTTTCAGTTTTAAAACGCTGACCCATCAATACATCTTGTTTGGACGTCCTTCAAGAGGGATCCAGCCTTAATTAGAGGGTTAATACTTCCCAAACTCCCCATGTAATTCGCAACCTGTTTGGTCAGAAATCTTATGCAAGTATGACTTCAAAACAACATCAGCTCTATTTAATTGACTGTGAAAATTGTTTTGCTTTGATGGTTATTGGCTGCTAATATGATTACACCATTTGAATTGGCAAAGAATACTATTTTGAAGTAATATTATTAAGCATGAAGTCTGATTGAGCGAATATATAAAAACTTTACCTCAATAAGGTTAGGCTGTTATATTTCACTTAATTGTATTTAAATGACACTGTATGGCTTTTGTGCGTTCCATATAAATATTTAGTTAAAACATGAGTATAGTGCACTTAAAAAATAAGAATATTTCTAATAAACAATGCAGAACATTAGATTAAAAGCCTCAAAGCTTCGTTTTTTTGACCAGTGTTTGATACAGACGAAATCAGAAGATCAAGAAACATCATATGTGACTAAAAATTAGAATAAATGCATATACTGCTTTTAAATTCGCTTTAATCCTCACTCGTATTAAAGCTAGCACGATTGCTAATGATTACAGGTGGTTACAATGAAATCTGACAGTCAGCGCTAAACGGAGGAAATCTGTTAACTTGGCGTCAATAATTAGCGACTAAAAATTTATGTTAATAAATGAAACTGGACTTATAATGTAACGTTACTAATAAACTCTCTCTCTTACCTACTATTCAATGCCAGCTCACTGTTTTCGGATTATTGACGCAGGTTGATGACGTAAATGGCGAATAGTATTATGGGAAATGTAGTGCACGTCTTCACGGTTGTTTTTAAAACGGTCTGTGCTTTCAAATGTTTATAGAAACGAGAGATAATTAAATATCTAAGGACCAAAACAGCATTTTTTTAGTATAACTGGAAGTTTGTCTGTTTGTTTAAAACTTAAACAAACCTTTATGAAATACTGATCTCCTAAACCCTGCTGAAAGAGAAGGGGAAATGGGCATTTCGTTTCTTTTTACTCCATTATCTTAAATGTAGGCTTTAGTCTAATATTAGTATATACTGTATCTGCAATATTATTGTGTTAAAGCTTAAGTTTATAGCGCAAAAACAGCATTACATAGGCATAACTGTGTCAGTTAAATCAGTTGACTGTTGAAATTCAATTTTTTTCACCCAACTGTTGAGTTATTAAATCAATAACCCAACAAAGCCAGAGCACCAAATATTTAACATAACTGGTTGAGCTATTAAATAAATAACTTAATAAAGGTTAAAAGTAACCCAGCAATGAACCATAAATGTTTAACTCGACCAGTGGGTTAAAATAAATAACTCAACGTTTTTAGAGTGTATGAGAAAAAATAAAGTAGGATTGAACAGCAATGATTTTTTTTTGTAAATGTAGGCCTACATACAAATGCAGTAATAATTTTGTATATTCGAATCTGAAATTAACCTACAGTACATTTAATTAATTGATCTGATTCCGCTTTTTAAATTGAGTTAAAATATATAAGATCCACTGAACCTTTTCCTCAATTGAGAGATTTAGGTTTTTTTATCTGTGATGCTGGCAGGAAATGAAACGCCCGCGCTCCATCAGTCTGAAGCTGTTTTCTCTGTCTCTGTCCTGCTGGCAGTGGTGGACAGTGCTGTGTTTTGGATGCCGCGGGCGAACATCCGCCCATTGAGCACGTCCGTGACCCATCACACCTCCTCACCCGCCGAGAGGGTATAAACATCACTCAGACAGCGCTGAGATCACTGTGAGGTTATTCTTAGTGGTGTTTACACTTGTCAGCGACTGCCTCTTTCAGTACAGAGAACGGCTGTAAAAGAGAAGTGTAGCAAGTGTGGCATGTGTGTGGGACTATCTATCTATCTATCTATCTATCTATCTATCTATCTATCTATCTATCTATCTATCTATCTATCTGTGATTGCTGTAATTCTCTTCATAATCAGTGTGATTTTCTTCTGCCGGGGTGTTTGCGTAGGAGTGTGCGTTCAGTGAACAGAACATACACGAAGCGCAGTGGGAAAAAAGCAAGTTGGCCGTTCACAGTGTTTGAGACTGCCAGTCCCTGCTCTCCAGCTCAGGAAACCTGTGATCCAGCAGAGAGCAGTTGGCAGACACAACAGAACAGGCTGCACTGAGATAGAGGGGGTGATGGAGCAGAACAACACCCACAACTTAAAGAACGAGACCAGAACATGAAGGTCAAAAGGGAAATAGAATGATTTGGAGCTGGCACATGTTGACTTTTTTGAAAATCGGCTCATTTTACTATTTCCCTAAACAGTTAAAACAATTGAGTTTTACCATTTTTGCATTTATTCAGCTGATCTCCATGTCTTACAAAAGCACCTTTATCTTAGTTCAGCATCGATCATTGAGTCGGATTAGACCATTAGCATCTTGTTCAAAGACAAGTGAGTTCTTATTCTTATTTAAAGCTTGACACTTCTCTAGTTACATTATGCATTAAGATTGACAGAAAATGAAAAGTTGCTATTATGTAGGCCCAGTGATTGGGGGTAACACATTACAATACAAGTTACGTAATAAATATACTTTTCTAAGTAACGAGTAAGTAGCGTATTACTTTTAAAAAATTAAGTAATGATATTTGATTTTTTTTTGTTTCATTAATTACCTTAAAACATATATTGCTGAATTGAAATTAACAGTGACATTGAATCACACAATTATGCAAAAATAACTTAAAAGTATGGTAGCACTCAGTGAATAAGTTACGCAAAAGTAAATCGAAAGTATCGTCACACTCAATGAGTTATGCAAAGGTAACTCAGTATTAGCGTAACACTGGGAGTTTCAAAAAAGTAACTCAAAAGTATCATAACACTTCGTGAGAGTTATGCAAAAGTATAATAACACTCAGTAAGAGTTACGAAAAAGTAACTGAAAAGTATCGTAACACACAATTAGTTACGCAAAAGGAACTCAAAAGTATCGCAACACTAAATGAGAGTTATGCAAAATAACTCAAAAGTATCGTAACACTCAATAAGAGTTACACAAAAGTAGCTCAAAAGTATTGTAACACTCAGTGAGAGTTATGCAAAAGTAACTCAAGTATCGTAACATTCAATGAGACTTGCGCAAAAGAAACTAAAATGTATCGTAAAACTCAAAGAGACTTACGCAAAAGTAACTGAAAAGTATCGTAACACTCAGTGCGTTAAGCAAAAGGAACTCGAGTTTTGCAACACTCAAAGAGAGTTATGCAAAATAACTCAAAAGTATCGTAATGCTCAATGAGAGTTACACAAAAGTAGCTCAAGTATCAAACACTCAATGAGAGTTGTGCAAAAGGAACTCAAAAGTATCGTAACACTCAATGAAAGTTACGTACAAGAGTAACTCAAAAGTATTGTAAGGCATTACTTTTAGTAATAAAAAGTAACCATAGAAAATAACTAAGTTACTTTTTTGAGAAGTAACTCAATATTGTAATGCATTACTTTCAAAAGTAACTCTTCCCAACACTGTCTAGGCCAACATGGCCAGGAACTATACTCTCATTTGGATTTAATAATCAAAGAATTTGCTGCCATACCATGGCTGCAGAATGCACAATGATGTTACACAGTGCCTCACTCAAAATGGATCTGCACCAAAATAAAAAATTGTTTTGAATTTACTTTAATAAATCGTCACCATGGAATTATAAGGTTCTAACTCTGTTCTGAGCTTCAAAGTTTTCGCATTTCATAGCAAACAGTATGTGTGTAACTTTTTTTTTTTATAGTCTTAAAATGATAACTTTTTTTTTAAAATTCCCATAATGTAAACAAGTCTTTTATATAAGAAAATGTCAATAACTTTATTTTGACAAAAATGTCAGATAGAACCTTATAATTCTAAGGTGACGAAATATCTATATGGCTGCAAGACACACTCCCTGTGCAAGCAGGCGATCAAACTGGTTATATTGATGGAAAGTTGCTGATTTCAGGCACTGCATAGTATCATTGCACCTGCTGCACTTTGATTGTTATGCTGGAATGAGAATTGTTTCTGGACATATCGGCCTAGAAAATAGCAACTTTTCATTGTTTGTCAATAAACGATATTATAGTTAAGCTTTAAATATGAAAATTATCAAAACTCTGGTCATTTTTGAGTGAGATGCTAATGGTCTAATCTGAATAAATGATCTATGCTGAGCTAAGCTAAAAGTGTTCCCACAAGACCAGACGATTGTAAATGAATTAAAAAGGGTAAAAATCTACTTTTTAGCTATAGGGGAGAAAATATGAGCATGTTTTGTGTTTTAAAGTGGAGTGTTCGTTAAAGGTAAACTGTCTGAAGTGCACCTTTAAGTAATTAGATTTTTGTAGTTAGAACATTAAGCTTTTTTGTAGAATGATTGAGAGAAAGCAGAGAAGACTTGCAGCAGATTGAGAGGAGGGGCTGCTGGGTTTAGTGGAGAGGCTACAGGTGCAGACTGGTCAGCCGTTGACCTTAATGGTGCATTAAATCCAGATGCTTAAATAGCTTACATGCTTAAACTCTGGTCCCCTGCCACCACCCAGCGAGATGAGATCTGAGTGAGTCTGTGTAGGTTTATTTAGCATTGGGTCCAAAAATGTCACCAGGTGTGAGCTACATTGGACTACGACTCATTTCGGGGATATCCAAGGGCATCATCATTTGGAAAAAAGCAAATCTATCCAATCTAAAAATGTTGTGTTGAATAGTTTTATGGTAGGCATTCAACATTTTTTACACTCAAAAATCATTAGTATTGAAAGTTTTAATATACAAAGAAGCATGTGATTTAACAAATACAGTAATTAATCAACCATGTAAACTCCCTGGAGGCCTGATGTGTAAAGCATGTAACTAATATGTGTAGGAGGAGGTCTTCATTTGGAGTTTCAAAGAGTAAAGCACACTGAACTTTTAAAAGGAAAAGGCTCTGTGGAGAATCCACGGCTCCAGTGTGAGTCTTTAAGATGGGGCAGACAAAATATGATTTAAAGGGAACAATCGCAGATAAGTGTGTTTATGAGCATGAGAGTTATAGAGAGGGGGGGAGACAATAGAGCCTGGCTCACAAACAGGAACCCTCTGTTTCCTGTGCTGAGATCTCAGTCTCTCAGTCTGCTCTCTTTTTCACACACACAGAAGCACGGTCAGAGTGAGACACTGACCATCTGAGTTCGTGCAATCACAAGCTGCATAAAGGAGTTACATTGCCTATTATACTGCAATAAAGATGCATCAAATGCATTAGTGATACTCTTTGATGCAAGTTGGGATTTGAACACACCCAAACATTAAACTCAGTGTATTTTTTTTTTGCAGTAGTGTGCACTGATGAGTCATGCACAATAAGAGCATGCATTGTAAAAGTAAATAGGGTTAGTTTTGATGTTATGTTGACTTTAAACTTTGAGGTGCAGTTTGTCACAGACCATTATGCTGCATGAATGATATCACAAATTGTGTGGCTAGTTGAGAAGAGATTTGTTTTTCTATGAAACTGAGCCTTCAGCCTTTAATTTTTTCTTGGTGAATCATAAAAATAAGTCTGCAGAGACTTGAGCATGACACTTGAGGGGTGCTAGGGGGTTATGCACCCTAGCAACCCTCAGATCTCACACTATTTTTAATGATTGCTCATATTATTCAGCATGCTAAAACCCCAAGAACACGTTAGCAAAACACACACCCTGGCAATCCATCATAAACACCCTAGCAATATGCTAAAAAATAATGGGAACACCATACCACCAACACAACACT